CTCTCTCTCACCCTCACACACACACACACACACACACACACACACACACACACACACACACACACACACACACAAACACAATAGTTCATGATATCATATTCAAGTCTAACGACCTGTTCACATTTATCTCGCCGTACACGAAGTTCAAGTACTATACAAAAGGTACAAAGTACTAATGTCACAAATGTCTTAAGGTCTCTCTCTCTCTCTCTCTCTCTCTCTCTCTCTCTCACGCCTTCACTTTCACACAAACACACACACACACAAACACAATAGTCCACGATAACACACACACACACACACACACGATAGACCACGATATCATATTCAAGTCTCACGACCTCTTCACCACCACCTTGCTGTACACCAAATCAAAGTACTAAACGGAAATTATAAAATACTGATGTCACGAACCTTCTAAGGCCTCTCCTCAGCAATCACCTCGTCACTATCTTCAAAAATTTCCAAAAATCTATGATCATTCTTCATTTGAACGACCTCATCATTTGCATTCTTTCTGCCAACAAATTGTCGTTCTCAAATATTCCTAGAACTCTGCACAAAGGTTTTATCTCGATCGAGAGAGATTACATTTATAATCACTTTTTCGATACAGGTCTTGCAAGTTGTCACGATGGCTTATTCTATCCTTCGCATTTCCTTGCTTGGTGCTGCCGTGCGTGCAGGCCGACTTTTGTTGCTGATCTGATTCGTCCTCTTCCGTATTTGGTTCGTTTTGCTCCAGCTGCTAGTCCTCGCACTCTGTCGATGATGTCGACCTTGTCATTAGACATGTCGCTCTCTGTACTGAATGTTGTGACCTCCAATGTGTCTGCCTCCACTGCTTCCGCCCACCTGGCGACCACAACGCATGCTTCCTTCGATATCCTCACTGCTTCCTCCTACTTGTGCATTGTTCACATCAGTCGCTTCACCCTTGTTGTGGTCCCGTTTGTTTTCTGTGACATGCTTAGTTGGAGCAAGAGGTGTTGCACCACCCACTGTTTTCTTTCGTACCGTCTTCGACTTCGGAGTATACTTCGTAGACTCCTCCCTGCGCCGGATGTCAATGTCGTTATCTCCCTTCTCCGTTTCTTCCATCTGTAATTTCCGTTTGCTCGGTTCGCGGTGCATTTCAACCAAATTTGTCCTCCAAGGCTCCGTTTTTGTTCGTACAGTCTTTACTTCTTCAGATTTTGCATGTCGTGTGATATATCGAATTGTGTTTCGTTCCTGTACGAGACGTGCAGCAACATTCATCTGACGTCGTGACATATCTTCTTCGCGAACGCAGAGCCTTCGTTGAGTCGATGTCCTTGTCACATCTGGGCCTCGGCGAGTCCGTAGGGTGTGCTTGCCCATTGGTGGCTTCATTGTGCCGCTCTATATCACTCGCGGGTTCTGTGATGAAGCACGAGCGACATAACATAGCACATGCAAAATTTGTCATCAGTGAAATTTCATCTGAGCAGCGTGGTTTTATCTCGACCCTACTTTTCTTAAAAAAAATCAATATTTTCACATTATATATGTAATGATAAATTTGTGGACTTATGTTTAATATTACACCTTCCTTGTGTTATCTTTTTCTTTATTTGCGTAGTTGTAAAGGTGGTCATGCTCCCATCACATTCGCCACCGTCAAAATATCGGGAGCATGACCACCTTTACGAC